ATTCACCTCCTGAAGCTGCTGGGTCACTCTGGAGGGGCATCTGCTCCCAGGTAGTGGTAACTACGTGGCCTTTCCTGCTTTTCAGAGGAAAGGTTGTTACTGTCTGCATTCTGACACTTGGTATTGGGCAGACATGTGCTCTGTAGATCTGTGCCGATGATGCCAGGAAAGGGTTGGGTGGGATTTGTCTCACCCTAAGTGCTGCTACTCTTATATCCTTGGAAATGTTTGGTAGAGGTCATGCATACCTCTACAGCTACTTGTTGCTGTTATTAACACGTTGATTAAGTTGTACTTTTTCTTTAGTCTTAAAGTTTTATTTGAAGGTAGAGAGCATGGAGCAGTCCTTAGAGTGTGCCAGCCACTTGACAGTGACGTGGCATTGCTACAAGTTCAACTAGGAAACTTACACTCAATTTCAAGTCATGGTAAATGAAAGTCTCTTCCAAGTATTCACTTGATCTCCCATTGAGAGACTGAATTTTTAGTGTCCTTCAGCAAGGGATCCATCTAGCTGTTGGCTTTGTTTATTGGCACCTGTATCTTGTACTGGAAGTAGTAGTCAAATATCCAACTCCTCTTTCTGTTCTCACTGCTACTGGTGAGTTTCATGGAGCTGTGTCCTGCCTCCCTTCGGTCACCTCTTTTTCCAGCCATCACCTTTTCTGTCTGCCATAGTGGCAGCTTTGGTGCTGGCTGCTTGTTCCCATCCCTGCCCTTGTATTGGCTCAGCAGCCAGCAGGCTGGGAGCTTCAGCTGGCGGAAAGCTAAGGATGCAGGGCGGAGTCTCAGCTTAGCCAATTGCTGGCCCCGAAAGGAGCACATCCTACAGCTTCCCTGCATCTCCATGTTTGCCTCCCACCACTTCTCTTTGCAGCTGTCGGGTATGCATTTGGCCGAAGGAACTCATTGAGTCACTGAAAATAAGCCAGCCAAAAGGAGTGCATAGCTTCTCACTGGGTGAGGGAGGTGACTGGGCTTGTGGAATGTTACAGCAAGCTGCAGAGAGGGTTGGGGCTGCGCAGCAGAGAGGTGAGATGATGATGAGTACTACAGGCTCCCTCCCTTCTCTTGATATCGAGCTGTCTGGTCCATTCAGCCACCCTGTGCGTGGTCACTGATGCTTTTCCTTTGTGTCGATACAGGCTCCTCGTGCCCTGAGCAAATGCTTCTTCTAGGAGGAGGTGGAGGGCAGGCAGAGCACCGCAAGAACGGGAACAACTCCCATTGCGGTGTTTCTCCAGATGCTGAGTAGACCGGCCTTGTACCTTGTTGTGCAGCTTTACAGTGGATGGTTCTGAAAGATGTGAGCTTTCAAGGGCTCTTCCTCAAAAGTCGTCTCTGTTGCTTGCATCTAAGATAGATATTGCACAGAACATAAACTCACATGATTCTGCTTGCTAGGTAAAAGGAAATTCGTTTATATGCAGTTTCCTGGCTGTTTGGAAGGCCCCTCAACGTACCCTGAAACTCAGCTGCTTTTGCCAATGCCCACTGTGAATGATGGAGTATGGATGAATACTTATTATAAAAATTGCTTTGATGTTTTGCATGTCTTTAACCAAAGACACATGTGGAATTTGTTTTGGACAATGAATTTGAATTCTGCTGGGATTGATATTGTGTTGTTTTAACAGGGGAGGTTTCCCCAGGAATGGATCTGTAAAGCCCTGTATGTTCCCAGAGAGCTCCTGTTGCTTTAATAATCTTGTTATCTGGGAATCTCTTAGGTATCAGAGGGCCAATTATGTGCTGCCCAGAGAGGACCAGGGAGAGATGTTTTTGTGCTAGAATTAATAGACACAGGCTGGTCACAGCAGGTCTTATGCCCTGCCTAACTCACCACTGTAAATCTGTAGGGCAGGGATAGTAATCATTTATTTCCATCTCACATCTCCTCTTTGCTCAGCAGGAGTAACTCTTAACAGGACAGCATGGTTTCTTCTGACGTTTAGACAAGACATTAAAGACAAGTTGAAATGAAATACCCTAGAAAAACTGATGAAGAATGACTTGTAATAGCTTGTGACAGGGCAGGGTGGTGGATGTCTTATGAAGGAAGTAGAAGTCTTCAGTTAGCTTGATGCTTTGTAGAAAGAAGTCTGTTCTGACCCTAAAATAAATAAAGAAAAAAAAGATGCCTCCACCTTCCTTAGAAGAGGCTTCAGCTTGGATTAAGTAGCTGTTATCATGGCCTGAGCATAGATTTCATCAAGACAGCTCTCTTAAGCAGGATGCTTGCCCAGTTTCTTTGAAAGGAAAGATCACTAGGACATGCCTAGGGTCCTGTGTGGAACCAGGTTTCGTGTGGAGCTGGGTGGACAATCTGTGCTTAATTAATTGTAAAGAGTGTGGCTGATACATTATTTTGCTTATTATTTTGTTCATTTTTTATCATTATTATACCTGCATCTCTTTTGCCTGTAGGATCACTCACTTTATAGTAGTTGCCCAGTGTAAGGTATTGATCCTTTTGCTGGGAGTTGTGTTATCCTGTGGCTTAGTTACCTAGGGGGTACAGAGCCTGGTTCACGTTTATTCAGGCAGAAGCTACACTAAAATTTTGCCTTGCTTTAGCAAAACGAGTTGCTAAGAGATGGTTCTGCTGACCTGCTGGTGCAGCCTGCGCTCTCCTAGCTGCACAGAGCACGTGTGCTGCTTTGCTGTATTGGCAGGCTCTCTCTCACAGTCCTGCATGCTGTGTTAGTAATCTCTTAAAATGGCTGCTACCTAAACAGCCTCTTTCCCCAAATGTTTAAGGCTGAAGGTAGAATGACTTAGCACTTGTGATGCTGCCCATGTGTGGTCTGCAGGGCTGTGCCTATCCTCTTCCTGCCAAATCCCATGCTGTGCTTTGTCTGCAGGTGTGTCTGTTAGCTGACCTGCTGAGTCTCCAGGCATGGACTGTGTTCTTAAGTCTCCCATGTCCTTCCATGTCCAGAGCTGCTGTTCTTCAGCTCTAGGCCTGGATGCTACTTCTTGAACTCCTGCATGCCAAGAACCCGTATGGGCTACTGTCATAGAACCGTGGACTATCCTGAGTTGGAAGGGACCCACAAGGGTCACCCAGTCCAACCACAGCCCCACGCAGCACCTCCCAAACCCAACCCCTATGGCTGAGGTTGCTGTACCAATGCTCCCTGAGCTCCAGCAGCTCGGGGCTGTGCCCACTGCCCTGGGAGCTGCTCCGTGCCCACCGCCCTCTGGGGCACAGCCTTCTCCTCACCCCACCATACCAGGCAATGCAGAGTGGAACAGTCCTTTCCCTTGCCTGGCTGGCAGTGCTAGGCCTAATGCATCTCCATTTAGACTTGTCCTTATTACAGCTTGCTTGCCCTCCCTGGTGAGGATGCAGACCCTCCAGCTTTCCTAGCACATCTGATGTCCCAGATGCTCCAGCCCATTCAGCCTTTCCTTCTGCAACGTGTTTCTTGGTTTACTTGGCCTGAGCTCTTGCATAATGTGTCTCCAGAGACCTGTGAAACCGTCCATAATTCCTGACATGCCATCCAACAACAAGGCTGACTCTGAGGGTCCCCAGCCCAGTGCCATTGTTGTGGTTTAACCCGGCTGGTGGCTCAGCACCACGCAGTTGTTCGCTTGCTCCCTCCATTCACAGTGGGATGGGGGAGAGAATCAGAGGGAAAAAAAATTGTAGAAAAAGTAGAACTCGTGGGCTGAGATGAAAACCTTTGACTAAGATAGAGAAAAGGAAAATGGTGATTATACGAACGTATCTAAAAGTGATGCACAAGCAGTTGCTCACTACCCCCAGCTGATGCCCACCTAGCCCCTGAGCAGCATAACTGAGAGAGATGAACTCCCATCCATTCAGAACTCCTTCTTCATGATGTCATGTGGTATGGAATGTCCTTTTGGCCAGTTTATGTCAGCTGTACTAACTGTGTTCCCTCCCAGCAACATGAGCCCTTCACTACAAATGGCCTTGGCTCTGTACAGCACTGCTTAGCAGGCAACTGTAAATATCAGTGTGTAATCAACATCGCTTTTCTCCTAGAACCAAAATGCAGCATCTTACCAGGCACTCTGAAGGAAACAATTCCATTCCAGCTGAAACTAAAGACTTTATTCCATACCATTTATGACCAGTTTGAGTCCCACCATTTCTCCACGTTCTAACTAACTACCATCACCTCTCTTATGTGGCATCTTATGTATAGCAATGGGTCAGAGAAGAAGTAATGAGATTGCAGAATCAGTGTTTCCATGAGCCCTGGACTGGGAACTAGTGGCACAGAAGGGTCAGTCGTGCTAACCAGCAAGTCTGCAGCAGTCAGCTCCCAGAAACCTGGAGGGTCTGTGTGGAAGAGCTGCTGCTTGAAGCTCAGTGTGGTTCTGAGGTTGCAAGTGAAGGTTGTTGCTTTGCTCCCAGGATACCTGTGGAATTTGCATTGGTGGGGTGTTCAGAAACTTCAGTTATTCTGAAGCAAGTAGTGGTGTCTGGCTGTGCTGGTGGAGATGGGCAGAGATTGCATTCTGCTTTAGTGAAGTTAGGTTCAGCTCTTGAAGGCTAAATATGCAATTTCATTTGAATGGTTTAATTTAAATGTAGTAATTAGCTCAGAATTTCATGCGTGAAACTTATGCATTTAATAGTGTGTGTCTGTTCTGGCATGAGATTCTACTGACTTATACCATTCTTCTACCGTGCACCAAGATTAGAGGGGTCATCTCTGATTAAAATGAGGAATGGCATACAGTGGTGGAAATGGGTGAATCCAGATGGAATGTGCTTTTCTGTTGGTGAGAAATTGGCTTAGTTTACATATAAATGTGTTTATATACGGTATTGAAGTAGTATTTTCTGTGTGTATTCTCTATTTTTCTCTGAAGGAATTAATTTTTCTACGAGTACCAGTCTTAATTTTGCAAAAAAAGGTGTATTTCTTTTTGCAGATAACACAGGTCGCTTCATAGAGAATCTAAAAACTTCGGTAAACAGTAACAAAATGCCTGATTAAACTTTCTGTTTTCTCTAGCTTCCTGGTCGCAATTATCAGAAGGGCTACAATGCTGAAGTTGGTGACAAATGGATCTGGCTGAAATGAAATCTGCCTCGCTCGGGAGCCCTAGCGGTGATCAACCACAGCACTTGAGTGGAGAAGAAGCTGAGTTCAGAGTGTCTGCTCTGCATCAATTCTGTGTAGCACAAAGGAAACGCTGGGTAAATCATCTTCCAGCTACAGCATAAGAGAATAGACTCCTGGAAGGCAAATGCAAATCGCCTCATTCTGGTTTGTTCTTCCCTGCTGAATTCAGGGTGCTTTCTCTTTGGATGCTTGATAGTCTGTGTGTAATAGAAAAGTGGTATTACAGGAGCAGACTTAAGATCGGTGCTGAACTTCTTCATCAAGACTGTGGCATGCTATTATACAGAATTATTGTTGTTTTCCTGAATGAAGAGAAATTAAATCTGTATCCTCCTGGTTCTCACGAAGTTAATTTCTTGCTCTGTCATGCGTGGTGTTTTATTTGCTTCATTAGAAGAGAGCACCTGCTTAAATAATGCACTCACATCATGTTCTGAAAGCCTCTTACCAGACATCAGTATCAAAGCAACAAAGCACAGGGAGAAGTTTTTGAGAGAAGGCAGAAAGTTTTCGTGATGTGAAGAGCAAAATATCTGTGCTTGAAAGTAAAACAAACAAAAACTGCAAATAATTGCCAGCAGTTGTTCTCACAGCTTCTTCCCTTGAATGGAAACCATAGATCAAAATGTTCGTGGGATATAAAAGACAGAAGTAATTATTACATTTGTAAGTCCCTGAAAATCCAAGTTCTTTCTTTTTAAATCAGTGATTCATTTGGTATTAGTTAGTCACACAAATGAGGCACCTTGGCATTGGTTCAAGCATTGCTGTCCGGATTTGGTCCTCAGAAATTCTGTGCTTCCAGCAAAGGGCTGGCTGAGCACTTCAGTCACCGCATGGAAGCGCCGTCAGGCATCCTGGCCTTCGGGGCAGTGCCTTTGAAGTAAGCAACCAGGTCTAACCCGTGGGCCAAAACTAGGATGGAAAGAGCCCTTTAATGAGAGGGGATCAGTTGGGTGCTGAAATAAATGAACAGTGGGGTACGAAAGTCTCTCTTCTCACCAATCTGCGAATTCTCTTTCCATCTTTTATGGCTCCAGTTGCGTTTCCCATTGTGGAAGGACCGACCCCTTTGGTGCCACTGTGCCACCCTGTGCTGATGCAGCTGGTGGATCCTCGGAGAGGGGCGAGCGCTGGGATGCAGTGCCAAGTATGCGAGTGTGAAACAGTCGTCCTCAGCCCCCTGAAGTTCTCTGGTCTTGAGGGCTGGTCAGCAGCAGGAGCTGCTCAGCGTTGTCCTCACACTGCTGGATTGCGCTGCCAGCTGCTGCCTCCTGCTCCTCACAGAGCAGCCCATAAGGGTTTGTGCCTTTCTTGATACCTTGGCACTCTTGACCACAGATGTGGTGGAAATGAAGCCTGCCTCGCTTGAGGCTTTGTGCATTTTCACCTTCTAGGCCCGTTTGTGTTCCAGCAAGGCCACGTGCTTCCTCATCCCATGCCTTTCCCAGCAAGGTGTGTCCTGGTGGTCCGGTGCCTGAGAACCTGAGCCACTGATGTCTGTTCCTGTGGATGAGATCCTGCTAGCTTTTCTTTAACTGTCTCACAGCAGCCAGTAATGAGTGTGGAGATGAAGAGAACATCTGCTGGGGCTTTAGATTCCCTTTGGAGGAGTCCGGCTCTGTTTTCACAGGTGTCCTCCATCTCAGTGTTGCTCTGTTTTCCAGGTGTTGTAATTCTCTTGGCAGTGGACGCAGTGTCAGAACTCTTAGAAGGGCGTTCTGTGCTTTGCGTGTGGTGCTGGCGCAGCTGTAGAGTTTCACTTTGCTGTAGCAGGGCACGACGTGATGCAGGGCGTTTATCAGAGCCTTCCCTGCCTGCTCCAGTGGGCCCGAGTTCAGCTTTGGATGTGAAGGAGTTGAATTCCAGCGTTGGCATTATGTGGCAAGTGGTGTGGTATGACAAAATACATACGGGGCATAGTTTTAATCCAAGTTTTCACTCTTCTTCAAAAGTAAAACCGTTTACAAACTAATTCTGTGAAGGAAATAACTTTCCCTCCCCTTGCTGTGGGAAGGAGCGTTAGCTGTGTTTTTCTCTTCCCTCCTTCCTACTCCAACACTTCAAATAAAAAATCTCCTAGCGAGCCAGCTGTAAAGTCTTTTGAGTTTCTAAGACTATTCTGTGCCAGTTAAATGAAACTGTCTCCAGTTCTTTATTAGATTGGAAAAGATAAAATGACTCAAGTCCTCTTCACACTACTGCGTAGGTACATATGTGATATTATCTGCAGTCTGCCTTGTTATCCCCAGTTCCCACTGCCTATATTAAAGCCTGGGGAAGCTTGCCTCTTGCCTGTCATGTCCCATGCTTGATTCTGCTTACTTTCCAAAGGCAGATTCACGGGGAATGGTGTTGATTCATCTAGAGCCATCTACCCCACGTTATGGGCAGAGCCACCGAGTTTCCCAGCATCAGCATCAGTCCAGCAACATCCACCACCTTTGGTTCACTGCCCACTTGCTCGAGGAGGGTGAAAAGAAAGAAAGAGGAGGTGGGAAGAGGTCCTGCCACCAAAATGATGGCTTGGTACGCTGCAGCCTTGGGTGAGGCTGTGATGGTTGCCTCTCGGCCTCGGGATCCAGTGCTTTCATGCCAACGCTTGTCCTGCACTAACAGCTCGGCTTACCGCAGCTCAGATTTGGTCTCGTAACCACCCCCTCTGGCCATTGCTGTGGTCGGTGGATCAGTGTCTGTGCTTTCCCAGCACATCCTTTAATAGCCTCCTTGCCAGCTGGGTACAGCTGAAGCTGCCCAGAGCGGAACCAGGGCAGCCTGTGCTGAAGGTGCCTGCAGTGTCTGAGCCCCTCGTGCTTTGCAGCTCAGCGTGAGCTATTGATTCCTCTCCTGCCCCTACCCACACCGTACTCTTCAGCAATGACATCTGGCCCAGGGCTGCAATTAAGAGATCCAATGAGTTTCTTCTTCCACTTCCTCCTTCAAGGTGTAACTCTTGTGTTTTAATCGCAGTGAGGTTTAGATGTTAACTGCTGCTGAAATTCTGTGAAAGCAGAGCCTTTGCTGCCGAAATTAAATCAGAGGATGCACATTGCTGTGCCCCCACCACAGACACAAACTGCAGTGAATCTCTTCTGTTGAAGAGCTTGCTGAGCAAGTGTAATTTAGATGCACAGCCAATTCCAGCTGGCTTTGAATGCTGTTTACAAAAGACTGGGCAAAATGAATCATTTGTGCAAAAGTTAATGGAAGCGAGCGGAGCAACGGGGAGGTGGGACTGCACACCATACCTTGACGAGCTGCTTTTCAGGAACGTGTGTACCTCAGGTTTATTGCAAGCCTGAAAGTCTGTTTATGAAAGTACTCAGAAGGATCCATATGCACTAAAGCAGACCTTGGAGGAGAAGGAGGTCCGGAAATGAATAAAAGGGGTTGCCTTTCCTCCATAAGTTCCTGGCTACCTGTTCACTTGCAGGTGATCTTGGACAAGCTCCTCATGGGTGCGTGGCCCTGGGAACCCCATTCCACATCCATATTGCTTCCTGTGGTCCTGCTCATCTTGCTCACTTGTGAAATGAGCCTTTAGTTCAACACCAGTTGAAAGGTAGGTCGGGCATCCAAAACTGTGTTCTCCGTGAAGGCCGTGCTTGGTGAGAGCAGCCTAGAGCCATACTCTCCACAGCAGATTTAGCCTGACCCTTCATCCCTTGATTCCTTTCTTCCATCATGAAGGGGTTTGGATCTGGTTTCCCCTGCAGCTTTGCATCTCTAGCTGGCCTTCCTGCTGCTCTGGCAAGAAAGTGCCATGTCTCCATCTCTCTCACTTGGGCCATGGCCACCCAGCAGCACTGTGCTCCAGGTTTGGAGTTGTGGATTGGAGATACCCACTGTGCTAGAGGAAGGAGCATGGGTGCTGTGCTAAGGAGCTCTTCTGAGAAAGGGAAACTTTTCCCCTCGCAGTCATTCCGTAAGATGCACTTAATTTGATCTGACCCTTTTAACCTTGATAAGAGCACAGCATTCCTTACATAGCTGCTGATCAGATAGCGTCACTGCAGGAGCAGTGCGGGCGGTGGGATGGCATGAAACCTGCCAGTTCTGCTCCAGTTCCCAGCTTTAAGTTTTATTTGCCAAATACATACGCACAGCGAGATCAAAACAAAAGTGTTGCCTGCTGGTGCTGTGTAATTCCTCTGCTGGAGCCCAGCCTAGCTGCTTCTATCTGATGGGACCACTCCCGACTGTTTGATTCCTGCTGGGCTTCTCCACCCTGCCCTGCAGAGCTCCAGATACAGACAGTACCCAGATCTTGAGAAAACTTTGTCTCAGTTAGCTCAGTGGCAGCCAAGTGCCTTTGGAGATGGCTGGGCTTTCTGTTCATGGCACAGACATAGTTGATGCTTGCAAAAAATTGACCAAAAGTAGGCACAGTCCATCCAGCCGTGGCATGGTTGGCCTCTAAGCTGTGCCTGTTTGCCAGCTCCTGGGACTGATGAGGTTGATTTTTATCCTCCTTAGGAGGAAAGGTGTTCAGGAACCAGTGGGATTCCAGCAGGTGAGATTGGTTGTTACAACAGCGGCTTCATTGACTGTCTTCAGATTCTGGTTTCTGCCTGCTAACAGGGGATCCCTGAGCATCTGGAGGAGGAACCCCTTTGCTGCTTCTTTGCTGTGTTGGGTGTGGGTGAAACTCAGACTCCTGTTGTCCTCAGAGCCCACGACAGCGGTGTGAGGTCTCCTGGCTTTGGCTTCCTGCAAGCCCTGGCTGCCACTTCCTATTCCAAAATTTCCTTATCCCAGAGCAGAGTCCTGATCCCACTGCAGTGCTCGCAGCAGTAGCAGTGCCACTGGTCTGTTACGCTTTGAGGATTAACGTTGATATATAGAGTTTGTTTTCATCTTCCATTCAGAATGAGAGCAGCCTGATGCTCGGGTCAGTGTTGTAGCAAGTGGAAACAAGATGTACAGATGGAGACTGATGTTTTGGACTTCTAGCCTATTCTGTGTAGGTAGGACCATGCCCAAAGCGTGGCATAGCCTTCCCTTCTGCTCAGCCTGTGCTGTGCAGCATTGGCCAGGGGGTGAGCAGTGGGGTTCCTGGCCCCCAAAGGGCAGCAGAGCTGTGCCACTGGGGCAACCCAAAGCCACAGTGATCTCACAAAGTCCTGTTTGCTTCCCCCTAGGTCCTGGCAGAGCTGTGAGTACACAAAACCCCACTCAGCTCCTCCCCGTCCCCTTTGATTTCCCTGTGCATGGTTTTATGTGCAGAGGACATCCTGACCAGTAAATTTTAAACAAAGTGCGGGGCAACTGCATGAGCCTCATCCAGATCCCATCTTGCTGCTTCTTTCCCAGCACGTCCCATTAGGTGGCAATGCAGCCTGTTCCTGCATG